CAATTGGAATTTACATCTCTTGAGCTGGGGACTGTCAGACCCTGTCATCCGGCTGACTGTTGGTGACCTGCCTTGCTGTTTGCTGCCTGTGCCTGGATAACCTGAATTGCTCTACAGAGGACTACCTCACAGCCCTCAAGACTTGAAGGACTGCCAGTGTCTCACAACTGTCTCACGGGAGTGAGTTACACTGAGCCATTTGTACTGATTTATAATTTAACTGTTTATTTCTTGTGTTACATATCTACTGATCTGTATAAATATATATATGAAATCATTAGCAATCTGGTTTTGTCTCTCTAGAAAACCCTAACACAGTCACCCCTTGGACTGCTGTGAGTTTCTGCGACTGTCACTCTTCATAGCAGTAGAAAGCCCCCATTCTCCCAGAGCACCTGGAGGTTCTGAGCTGCTGGGTGGTGGTTAGCAGCCCAGTGTGGATGTAACCACTGCCCCAGGGCTCCTGGGCGCAGCTGGGTGGCTGGGAAATGGAGTAGAAGGCAGGCCTTCTGCTTAGCACTCCGTGGGAGGAGGTGGAGTTTCCTGTGGTTCTCTGGGAAAGAGCCCCAATACCGGCCCTTGGGGGCGGAGTAGCAGGGGTCACCCTGAGAGCTCCCTGTGGGTAGTGCCAACCGGGGCTCCAGAGCACTTCCCAGTGGGGCCAGGCACGGCCCTGCCAGCCTCCCCTCCCAGGGGTTCCCTACAGAAGGATGCAGACAAAGGTGCCACTGCTGTGGCAAAGGAGCTGAGGACAAGAAAACCGCGTTCGGCTGGCTGTAGGATGCACGGCACATGTAAACATATACCAAAGTGACAGCGTTCTGGTGAGAAAACACCATGGAGATGGGGATCACCCAGCACACTACCTTCTAAAGTGTAGCATTTTATGGTCATTGTGGGGAATTAAAAAAAAAAAAAGCCTTTCAAGGTAGGCAAAATGCTTCACACTTTCTTTGAGGCCTAATTAGGCGTGTTTGTTGATAGATAAACACAGAAGTGCTGGTTTGATCTTGGAGTCAGAGTGAGGCAACTGTTGCCATAAACCACAGAGCAGTTTTTAATATTTAAAGCAGATTTTGAGGAAGCAAATGTGCTTTCATCTCCCTGTAAGAACGGGTGTAAACGTTTTGTTTCAAAATGACATGCTCACAGGAGCCAGCAGCGGTGAAGGAAGTAACTGAGGACAATTACACTTGCTTGTGTCCCGGTGTGGGGAGGAGCCAGGAGGCTTTCCCCTGGGGCCCAGCGAGGTAGAAAGGCCTGACAACATGCCATGTTGTGGTCCTGGGACATGCCCCAGGCCTGGCTGTTTCTACACGGGCAAGGCTCTTCTTTGTAGACCACCTTGTCAGTGCAAAATGTAAACCGATGCTTACTGCTCAGGAGGAAAGCAGCATTCCAGTATGGCTTAAGCAGGGCAGAGAGGGCTGCGAGGAAGCCTTGTCCGCTCTGTCAGCTGTGTACCCCTCAGCAGACACTCACCGAGGCTTAGGTTCGAAACCTTCCAGTGTTGAAGATCACCTAGTCAGCAGTTTGAAAGTCCTGTTTCTTTCCAAGCAGTACACCGTGTAGGAAAAGCAGTGACCCAGGGTATACATGGAGGCTGGCCAGGGTTTTCACCGATGGCCCAGGAGACCCTGGGACCCAATGGCAGGGCAGCAGAGCCCAGAGGGGTGAGGCCTGAGCTCGCACAGCCACACCACACATACTCCTTCCTCTCTCACATCGCCCCACTGCCCCCCAATCCCCCCCGCCCCGCCCTGCCCAGCAGCCCAGAGCTGAAGCAGCTACCTCGTTCATACAGCTTGATTGCTTCCATGAGGTACGGCACCAGCAGACGGTTGACAATAAACCCGGGAGTGTCCTGTTTTAGGAAAGAAAAAAATTGAACCAAGTGAATTTTCAATCTAGTTCATCAGCGAAAGGCAGGGCTTTCTACCCCCATGACGTTTACCATCTCAGGCCCTCGCAGGGGTGTGTCTGCCCTGTGCTCGGGGTCGCGAGGAGTCAGCGCTGACTGGAGAGCAGCGAGTTTGGTTTCTGGTTTCCTCTGTGAAGGCCCTTTTTTTTAATCCTGCGGTTATCAAGCTACTGGTATTAAAATTACCAATACGGCCTTGTTTCTATCTCACAGATCAATGTAACCAAGAACCACAGCACTTAGACAAACTGAACACACCCAGAAGGTCCTCCTGTACAGATCGGAGCAGGTGGGGGTGGGCACGAGGGCAGGCACAGCTGACCACATCATTCTGACGCTCCAGCTCGCTTCTGTGGATTGGGGCATTACTGTTGGCTTCATCCGTTACTGCCAGGATCACACTGACAAACATGCAAATGGCACACACACACGGCGGCATGCAAACAGCAGCCCCGTTACTCCTCTGCTCGCTGACCGGCCTTTAGAAATCTAGAAAAAGTAACGCTACCTTGAGCAAGACCTCAGGGGAGAATGACATTCCGGGCCTCGCACTGCTTGGTCCGCATGCGCCGCTGTCCAGGCCAGCAGGATCATGATGGAGCTGGGGGCAGAGCAGCCAGGCAGATGCCGGCTCTCTCAGCACACCGCCTACGACCCACAGCCTACAGGCGACACCAGGAACACTCCCACTCTCCTCCTCGTTAAAACGCCTAACCACCTCTGCTGAGGTCTCGCTGCTGGGCTTTACTGATCTCTTTTGGGTGCCTGTGAGGACCCCCTCAGGCCTTGTCTGCTGTTTCTAGCACACACCGGCCACTCAGAAAGCATGTGAGTCCGACGACCAGCTCCTGGATTACTCCTGCAGATGGCTGACCGCACTCCAAACAGGGCCGGGAAAAGGACGCACCCTGTGACTCAACGCTGCCAGCGGTCCCGACCTCCACCTCCACAAGAGTCCGGGGAAGAGGCACAAAGGAGCTTCATCAACTTAATCAAGATCACATTAATAAGGCCACTTTGTATACTTAAAACTGAAGTGGAAATATGCTTTTTAGCTTCAAAAGGCTAATTGTAGAAACTCGGGGTAGAATGCCCGAGAATGTGAAGCACTCTGCATAGCAAAGGCAGGCACAGCCTGAGAAAACCCCCCGCTGCCATCTGAGAGCGACTAGCCCCGTATCAAGAGCTCACAGGCCTCCATGAAGGAGAAGCGCTCACAAAATGCTTACACCCACCAGGAGTCAAAGAAATACCAAAATCAAGTCGTGTTTCTGACAAGACTGTGAGGGTTTTGTTCTCCCGCTATCATGACACTCAGAAAGGGTGCTGCAGAGAAAGGGGCACCCTCGTAATATTATATTAAATATACATACACCAAAGAAAACCCAAACCCGCTGCCATCGAGGTGATGCCGATCCACAGTGACCCTGTCCGACAGGGCCGAACTGCCCCTGTGGGTTTCCAGGACGGACTCTTCTCGGGAGTAGAAAGCCAATAGCTAACCACTGCACCACCAGGGCTCCAACGATATACTACAGCAGGTCTTTTTAAAGAGTTCAATTGATATAATCGTAAGGTTTACATTTTTCATAATCTTTTAAGTATTTATTCAGTATTTTAATATGTGCAAGGCACTGTTCTAAGTACTACATAAAATAAATTCATCTACTTCTCATAACAACCAAGTGCTACAGTCCTGTCAGCTAACTGCAAGGTCATTGGTTTAAAACCACCTGCTGGCTCCATGGGAGAAAGACGAGGTTGCGGCCAGATTTACAGCCTCGAAAATCGTACTCAGGGTTGATGTGAGTCGGAGTGTTTTGCATGGCAGCGGGTTCACATTGTCATGATGCAGGACCCTCGGGTCCTGAGGCACGCAAGGTTCCATGATTTGTCCCCCGTCTCTCTCCCTCCGCGGTTCCTCACTACAAAGGCCCGTGTTACGGCACAGCAAGGCCATTCTTCTTCACCAGGTGCTGGGAAACAGCAGTCCTGTTTTTACAAATAAAGTTTTGGTGGAGCACAACTAAACTAAACAGCCATGTCCCACTGACAGCTGTTTTTGCAGTAAAATGAACTGTCAAGCTTAAATTACTTAAGTGTCCTGAGTAGTTACATACAGATAAAGTTGTGTGGAGTTTTGTTCTAGGTAGTTGTTAAACTCTTAAAAAGCTTTTTAAACTTTTTTTTTAAATATTGAAAAGCCTAAATAACTTAGCCAGAACTCCCAAGAACCCTCAGGTTTCTTAGTGCCTAGGTTTTAAAACTTGGCTGATGATTGGAATCACCCAGGGATCTGGTGAAAATACAGCTCCCTAGGCTCTATTTGCAATCCAGTGAAACAGAATCACTGCAGGGAGGCGCCCAGGGATCAATTCCAATGATGGACGGGGCGGCGTGAGGCGCAGAACAAAGAGGAGCTGTCTACTCCCATAAAGCGGTACAGTCTCGGAAACTCACCGGGGCAGCTCTACTCTGAAAGTAGGAATTACCTTCACGGAGTGAGTGTGGTTTGGGGTCTTTAAACACAGCACTGCGAGCTACAGGAGAAACATTTTGGAAAGCAGAAGGATGCCATGAGCAGAAGCACATGGCAGAACAGACCGAGTCCGACAGTGTGCTTGTCACAACGGCTGGAGCTGGGCGTACCTTTCCCCGGGAAATAAGGAAATAAACGGCTTATCACCAAAGGCAAAGAAAGGTCTGATTTATGTGGCGTCGTTATGCCAGGGCCTTTCTTGACACAACTGCCCCTCAGGGAAACTACAGACCCAGAGGGGTGCAAGCCTGATGTTTTTGGCAGAGGAAATAAGCTAACAGAGAAACTGAAAAGAATCAAAATAAGTAGCTTATCATTTCAGACAACTCGGATGGGTTTATATACAATAAGCAGGTATCTCATTGTATATAAAAAGAATACGGCGGGAGGTCAAGCACACCTTTCCACTCTGCCCGCTTATTGAAAAAGCACCGTTCAACATCACCAATGCCATTTCCAGTCGTCTGCAAGTCACGTTCCCTTGAGTGACTTGGAGGGTGCATGTGCCCTCCAGGTTGAGCCCATGTAAGGCTCTGCTCCCAGTGGCTCATAAGAAGCCAAAGCTGCTGGGGACACCAAAGTCACTTGTGGAAATGTAGCTGCACATCCCCGAACAAAGCCCAGGATCCAGAGTGTAGTTTCACGTCTTCCTTTCCACTGGAACCCTGGGCAGCACCCAACTGCCTTGGGCATGGGCATGGGCATGGGTGGGGGCAGGGCTGAGGAGTCAGCTTCCCCTGCTGGCAGATCAGAGTGATGACATCCATGGAGCCTGCTCAGCAGAGTCTGCTGACAGGCAGGCAGTGGCCAGGGTCCCTTGCTCACGTAATTCCACCAGGCTCCAAGGAAGACCACCCCCTGCCCATGTTACCCATACTCTACCTTGCAAGAAACAGGATGCTTTCCCAGGGTTTTGCTAAAGTCTATCAGAGATTCAAACGTCTTCTGGCTGGTCATGGGGGTTTTAATGACCTGCAAATGCAAAGCAGAGAACGGTGTGTCAGTAAACCACCCACCGCGGAATAAGGGCTTCAGACAACATCAATCAGAAAGACCCACCTAGTAAAAACAGAACAGAAGTATGGATCTCAAATTATATACAAAATACCCACCTTAAGATGACAAGGAAGTGAAGAATGTACAAAATCAAGGCTGAGAGGGTGGGGTGTGTGTGTGTGTGTGTGTGTGTGTGTGAGAGAGAGAGAGAGAGAGAGAGAGAGAGAGAGAGAGAGAGTGTTTTATGAGCCTTAGTTGAAAACAAAACAAAAACCACCAAGTCGCTGCCATCGAGTGCATTCTGAGTCACAGTGACTTAGAGGGCAGGGTAGAACTGCTTCCGTAGGTTTCTGAGACTGCACCTCTTTAAAAGGGTAGAAGCCTCCTCTTTCTCTTGTGGAGAAGCTGGTGGTTTCAAACTGGTGACCCTGTGATTAGCAGCCTGATGCTGTAACCCACTATGCCACCGGGGCTCCACTAGTTGCAAGAGATAGGTTGGACTCCAACTCCATTACTTACTGCCGATGTGCCTTTCTTCGGCACGATTTCTTGAAACAGAAATTACTGTGAGCACCACCAAGAGTGGAGGCGAGGATGAGCTCAGCCCAGCCCCGTGCACTGCGAGAAGGAAGCAAGCACAAAGCCACACTCACTGCTGTCGGTGATTCCGACTCACAGCGGCGCCAGAGGACGGAGGACAACTGCTCTAACGAGGCCACCGCTCTTCTGCAGGCGCAACGAGGTGTTCTAGGAATGCTTGCGTTTGCTACTGTTCTGTACTTCAGAGAGGAAAGGGAAAGCCCCCTTGGGGTGGGGGGTGGGGGTGGTGTGGAATGATACATGCCCTTAGAGGATTCAGCAAGGAGGAAGAACAAGTTCAATTCCAGGCTTCTGTTCTTATTCATTTCCCAAAATGTGGGTGCTGGGACCCTGGAGCACCTGGATCCTTGACCTGTACCTACTCCATCGCAGGAAAATGAGTGACTTGCCTAAGCCACACACCTCCTGGACCCCTGGGTTAGTGTACTCCCCAACACGAGGCATGGAGTCCAGCAGGGGAGCTGTGCTTCCCAACAGGCCGGACAGGAAGCACGTCTTTACCTGAAAGAGGGGCCAGTGGGCCGGAGGGCAGGGCAGGCACCTCAGAAGGCCCCCAGCCCTCCCGACTTTCTACAAGGCGCAATGCAAGGAAGCTGCTGGAGACAGCAACAAGCACAGTGCTGCAGTCAGCACTCAACAAACGCTACGGAACTCCCCGGGAGCTACATCTGTGAGGGCTGAAAGGGACAGAGGGGAATCTGAACTTGACACAATACGTGTTCCTGTCTTCAGGGTCAGTGAGGAAGTTGCACTGCTCCCTTAGGTGGTGCTGGTGGGGGTGGTTGGGGCTGTCGGGGGCGTTCCCACCTGTAATGAGCCTGTGTACAACAGAACAACAGGCTGCCCAGGGCTGCCGCCCTCACCGTCAGAGGCAGGTCACATCAGCGTCTGTGTCTGCCTCCTGACTGTGAGGACAAGTGACACAGATACACACACACACACACGGTTACGCGGGCCGTGTGGCCATAATGAATGAAGGCACTCGTGACCATTGGTGCTTGAATGATCACAGGCTAGAGGTGTGGTGGGACCGGAATGACACCAAGGGAGGTACTGTAAATGAATAAAAT